GGAAAGAGGTGTTGGTTTTGATTATTAAAACATGGGGACTGTTGGAAACTGTTTTTTAGTAGCATTGCAAACAAAAGATTTCGTGGGCAAGGTTTCAAAGCTGAGAATGCATTATGCATATAGATGTGGATCATGAGGAGCTGGTGCAAAATATCTTGAAGTTTATAGAAAGCTTGTCTCTGCTTTCTGTGCATTTTGGATGGTTGTGCTATTGAGTACTGAGGTGTGAAAAAGCTTGCAGGCTCTTCTGGCAAAAGGAGCAAGTCTTGTGAATTTAGTTCAAAAAGCTGGCCAGCACAAAAATACTTGTTCCAAGAAAGTAGCAAGCCTAGTTTTCCTTTCTTCTTAAAGATAACTCAAACCAGAAAATCCTTTGGGGGCAGGGTGGGGAGTGAGGGGAAGGAATAGAGAGGACTGTGTTAATTAGTTACTGAAGTTGAACCACTCAGGTAAGCTCATGAAGATGAGCCATACCAAAATGAGGTCGTAACAGTGCTTAAGCAGACAATCTGGTGCGTGCGTGCCATTCTGCATCACTGTGTTTGTTTTTGTTTGTTAAGTGCACAGATATGTGGTAGGTCTGTTGAACTAAATCATTTTAAGCTTGTGTGTCTTTGGAGGCTCTCTTGACAAAGGCCAGTATTTCAGCTGTTCAAATTTGAACTGACTTCATTTTTCACAGGGATGGAATTACAAAGGCAGTATTGTATTAGCATGATTGCAAGAATAAGCCCAGATAGTAAACAGTTGTAATGTGTTGTGGTTACTTACACAGCAGTAAGGAGTTAAGTGTGCTTTGGGACATGGAGAATTCTGTTCTTTTAGCCACCATGGCAAACATGCTGAAAAATTCATGCCAAGATCTTAAAGTTACTTAATAAAAGAGGATGGAAAAGTGGAACCCAACGTAAAGCATGTAGGGTTTAAATTTTAAAAATGGTATGGTTATTCAATTAACATAGTTTTAGCCAAAGCCCTGCAAAGTCTTTCTTGGAGGAGGATGGCAGTTTGATTCTGGTTTTATCAGAGAGCTCATCTTTCAGGATGAGTAAAATAATCATGTTGATGCATTTTTTTCCTTTACTCAGCTGCTTATTAAGGGGCTATATGAGATTCTGATGGAGCAAGGAAACAGTACATCCTCCTCAGTACTTCCTTAGTTAAAATCCTAGAGATGCGCTGGGAGAAATAAGTGATGTCTTTTTTTATCGTTCTTTCAATTTAATCTGATTTTGTCAATGTTTTTCTGGTAACAAATTCTGCTTGGCTTGTGAACTATGATAAAAACACAATGTTTGAGCCAGATCACTAGCACTGATAGATTTAAAGAAAGGAGCATTTATGTCTTTCTCCTGTGCCTTTTTGTCAATAGGTATTGTCATAGGAATGATTTGTAATTTCCTGTTGATTTTAGTCTGCTCAAACAGTAGAGCTTGCTCTTTAGAGGAGAGTAAATCTACATTGTTTGTTTGATATTCATATGGCTGGAAAAAAGCTAAAAATATTTTCTTGGAGGCTATTGGTATTACCTACGTATTACTTGATCTCTAGAAGGTGGTGTTAAGCCATCTACTGTGCAAAGATATTTAGTACATTATTAATGACCATTCTGCATCTCCTCTCAGGAGTATGATTCAGAATAGGGATAGATGTTTGTAGCAGAACATTGGGAAGAAACGGGTGAATGCAGAGACTGCCTTTTCATCATTCTTTTCTGGCTTGAGATCAGCTATTTGAAGTGCAGTCTGCACTGCAAAGAAGTGCAAAAGAAAGCAAGACTGTCTTGGGTGGAGAGTCTGAAAGAAATGTTTAGCTCTGAACTGAGAATTTGGCCTGCTTCAGTTGTTTCTTGAGCAGGGTTGGATGTGACTAGCTCTCCTCGGGAGCACACAAAGCCTGTCCACATCGCTGAACCTTGCTGCTCTGTGTCCCAGTGAACTGCAAACTTGGATTTCCCAATTCAGTTGAGGGTCTGTGGGACTGTGGTTTGCTAAAATGCCATTTAGAAAAGTCTAGTGCCTTTTGTTCTATTTATTTTGTGTACCAGCTGAAAGTCTGTGCTCTTAACATCCTCTTGTACCATCATTTAATATAGCTGAAAACCAAAAATGAAAATCTATTATGTTGAAAGAGGTGGTTTGACCTTACTGGTAGGACTGCTCTTGGATTTATCACTCTTAAATTATAACTGTGTGAAATATACATATTTGCTGTTGCCAAGCTTTTGTATGTTCAGCTTTTTTAACACTGGCAAATTATAATTTAAGAATTTTCATCCAGTTTTCTCACATTTTGCTGTATCCAAAATACAGGTGCCCCTAGAAGAAATCAGTTTTAATTCCATAGTGCACTACCTCACTAGGAAATGAAAGCCTCCAAAAAGGTGCTAAAACTTGCTGATACATTTCATGCTTAATAACAAGATCTATTCAAAATTCTGTAGGTTTCCTTACACAAGGATTTCTTGCCTGACAACTGAAACTGTTACTGCAAACCCACATATGCTTTAGTTCCAGCATGAAAAGCCTCTAAAGGCTATGCCTTACTGTCTGTAAGAGGATGAGACTAGAGATGTTCATAGAGCCAGGATGAAAATTGTCCAACCAAAATACTTTTTACCATTTGTAATTTTTTTTCTACTTTGCTTCTTGTGTTAATAACTATTCTACATAATGAAGTAGTACTGTGAACAATACTAAATCCAGTATGGAGCCTTAAGGTGGTCAGCTACTAACATCTTTATTATGATGGATAACTGCTCATTTACTCTTACTGTAGTCATCCAAAATCATCATGTAATTTGAAACAGAATTTTTATATTTAGGAAGGGTAAATACTGGCCTAACAAGGACATACTGTAGGACAGACTTCATTGGTGCATTTGTCTATGTTGAAATTAACAGCTGTGCACATTTATGACAGGCAAAATAGTGGGTGTTGTTCTATCCCATTCTTGACCCAGCTAACATTTGTCTTGGAGAAGAGGTTACAAGCCTTGGCGAGCTACTGCATAAAACAGCTGTGCGATTTGAGAGTTTTTCTCATCTGCTTTAACTTCCAGATTCCACAGTGTTAATTGATAACATTTTCCTCAGTTACGAGTAACTTCTCTGCAGTTGGGTTTTTGGCCTGTGAACATTAACATTGTTTGTCTTGAAGTCATATCATTTGCACAGAATCTAAACATACAGCTCAGCCGTCAGGATTTATAGACTTTCATGTATTATTTCCTAAACACTTCAACACACTGTAAAAGTGTAGGTATGCTTTTAGAGCTCAGTGTAATACCAAACATCTGTATTACATTGTACAACATGTAGTAACTTTCTTAATATTTTAGCAAGAACCCAGTTACGGTAACCATATTTAATATGCTTGGTTAATAAAACTGCTACTAAAGAAAAAAGAATATGCTTACTAGGGAAAACATCTATTGAAAAGCTTCAGGAAGCAATGGAAGAAGTGTCAAGCATTTATATACAGATATTCTTAAAAATCTGGCATTAAAAAGTCTTTGGAAGTACCTCTAGAAGTCTGGATAGAACATCAAAAAATGTTTACTTAATGACTTGAAAAATGTCTCTGAATTTCAGCCTGTGGTGGCATGAGTAATTTTATTGCCATAGATGTGGAATAAATTCAACTTTGTTAAAGATTTCGAAGGGTAGATATTTACTGTTCAGTATGACAAAACATTTTAATGTGGGTTAGGGCAGAAGACCTGATGCTATCCCAGTTGAAGTTAGGAAAACCCCACCAGCTCAATAGAAGTCATATGGGCCTCCATGTAAATCTAAGTGAACTAAGCTCAAAGACCAACAGGAAAAGCTATTATAATATCTGCTTTTGAAGATTAATCAGGATGACCTGGAAGGACTATAAGTGCCCTGTCTATTCTTTATCTCTAAAGATGGTCATAATATTTTTAAGAAGCATATAAGCAAACATAGGATTTACAGAAAAACAAATGGTGAGACACACAATCATTTCTTGGTTGCTATGTAAATTACTGCCGATATCTTAATTGTCCATTTCATGCTTTGTTTAGCAAATAGGATTTCCTTCCTCAGTGCAAAGCACTTCAAATATGTTTTTATCATCAGCAGGATAATTTTAAATATATTCTGACTT